TATAAGCTCGGCCAAAGAAACTCGTACTTTATCAACTTACTAGGGTTTAAATCTGTAATCCCCTAGTTAGGAGAGCCACGAAAATACTATTAAGCTACAAGCTACTTGACATGCATGAACTACATATATTTCACCATTATTTAAAATTTTGACAAACTTTTTTATTTAAATTATTCCTTCCAAACTTAATTAACCACTATCTAAAAATGTTCTATTACTACAATTTATGAGGTACTTGACGCGTAGTCATCCCTATATGTGATTACTACTTTATAGTAAGGAGTACATAATAAAGTGTTAATGATATAGGTAATAAAGCGACCATGAACCATGTATTGCATGTAGTATTATTATTCATTGAGTATTTTGTGCAATCCGAGTACGTACAACTGAAGGAGATGGACCATTATTATGTCTTATCGTACTTTTATTTTGTCTTTTATAATATTTTTGATCGTAGACTCAAATATATTCATTGAACTTAATTAATATTATCGATCCTTTCATCAATTATAATTGTATTATTATTTTTTCTATATAACACAACATCATTAACATAGTAAAGTTTTATTAGTTGTCTATCAAGTGAGATTTATCATGTGACATCTTGACTTGAGACTTGAGAATGATCAATAAAAAATAAAATATTTTTATAATTTTACACTTAATTACCAAATGCTACGTTATAAGTGAAATTTATTATTTTATAATATAATAACAATTTCATAATGTGTAATCGTACTTGTTGCTTTGATACCAATAATTTAGAGGAGTGTGTAAATAAAATTAGGTATCTCTAGAATATACATGTTCATATGTATTTCAGATTTTCAGGGATATCATAAATATGTATGGGTGTTTTAGGAATATCTAATTATATTCAATATTTTTATTAGTTTATGTATTTTATATTCAACATCATGGTCGGTAATATAATTTAATTGTATTTATTAATTTGTCTTTATTGACAGCTAAATTGGAATTTGCTTGTCGAACATTTATTTTCATAGCCCCAATTTATACAGTGATGAGCTATGAATGAAAAGTTTGAAAGGGATCGGACTACTAAGCTAAGCTCTAATAATTGCACGACTTTGTTTTCTTTCTTCAATTACAAGCAGATACATAGAGACAAACTTTCTCTCTATTTTAAGAATTTTAAAATAAAATTTCATCATCTAATCAATCTTATAAAAAAAAAATTCAAAATATCAATAAAAGTTTACAAGATGAATAGTTCATATATATAACAACAATTGAGGTCTCAATTATATATATAAGGAAAATTTATAAATTCATATGTTATAACTTAATTACATAGCTCTTTAATTATTGTGCAACAACATCAGTAAACATATTGGCCCTGTTTGGTAAAAAATTGGCCTATAGGCTAATTTTTGTTTATTTGACCACTATTAATTGTTTGATTTAGTTAAAATATCAATATAAATATTTGGTTAATTAGCCTTTAAAATATCAATATAAATATTTGGTTAATTAGCCTTTTGCAACTCCAAAAAGCTAAAATTGAAAAAGCTACCCCAAGCAACTTTTTCAATTAGCTTTTTGAGAAAAGAAATTATACCAAACAGCTAACAGCTAACAGCTAATTTACCAAACACTTTTCTACAATCAGTTAATGTTATCAATTATTTATACCCTCTAACTAACACAATCAGCTAACAACTAACAGTTATAAGCTCACAGCCATTTTACCAAACATGGCCATTATAATTATACGATGAAGTCTACTTATCAGATGGTGTACAAGCTCGGGTTTAGTGACAGTGGGTCGGAAGTTCCCGAGCTAAAAAGAGTTGGGTAAAAGTTCCAAAAGTTCCCCTTTTCTAACAATAAATGTGGTATTTATAGGGGTAAAGGAGAGAACACATGCCGGGGAGTCGATATGTCCCCCACGTGTTGTACATGCACTCGGTTGTCTCAAAGACCGCGTAGAGGTGTTTACGTGCCACAAGATTCCTGCCTTAACCTATGGATGAAGAGGTTTGACTGGGCGCCAAGCCACTTCCCGTATGAGTTTTCCATTACGGGGCGACAATCCTACCTGAGCCCTAAGGTCTAGATCAAGCTCAAGATTCCTCACAAATAGCTTTATATGGGTCGGTATATCGGGATCTGGTCGTGTTGAATCTATATCAGGTTGGATGTGGTCGGGAATTGATCTTCGTGCCCTACGAAGTGCATACCAAGCACATACAACGCGAATATACACTCAAGATATATTTCCCATCAAGTATTGCTAGAAAGGTGGGACTTTTGGAACTTTTACCCAACTCTTTTTATTAGCTCGGGAGCCTCCGACCCGTTGTTAGTAAATCCAAGCTTGTACATCATATGATAAGTAAACTTCATCGTATAAACCAGTATATTTACCACAGAAGTACATATAAGCTTCCCGTGGAGGTTGCATTATTTGTTTGATTGCTTCTATCGTTAATGACTTTTTCCTTGAATCTGATGAAACAATATTACGTTATATATGTGTGTCGAAGTGTTGATCAGTATCAATGTCAAGTTGTACTTACTATAATCATATAAATGCATTGATGTCAACAATACAAGCTCAGTTATACTGGATATATTTGTATGATTGTATGGGGCGAATCGAGAGGTTTGGTAATGGAGGCAATTGCCTCGCCCCCTAAATCGATATATTGTATGCTCAAAACGAAAAATGGATTAATGATAAATCAATTCTCAAATAGACCATTTAAGTTAGAAAATAGAGTTAGCTAGAAAGGTTTGAAAGTAGCCTTTAATTTGTCACACAACGGAATGGAAAATGAGTTTTACTAGTAAATATATACATGTAATTCCTTTTAGAAAACAATTGAATTGTATAGTATAAATGCTTTCTCTCACACCTAAAAAGGTGACTTGTGTGCACCCGCAATAATTACATGCACAACTTGAATTTTTTTCCTCGTTACTAGATGTTTGATTAGGTAATTTAGTTGGTTGTTACTTAAAAATTGTATATCGGTGGTGTTCCAAAAACTAGAATACAAACAAGACATATATATGGCATAAATTTATAGGTTTCACAGTCAAAGGCAACAGAATTATGCATGGAATTAAAGCAATACAGAATATGCTGGTGCAAGTTTGGCAGTCATCAATTCAAGTGATGACAAATTACAAAACCCTCAAAAAAACAACTTCAATTTCATCGCTAGGTTAGGTTGTCTCAACATATATATTTGGGCTCATCACCAAATTAAAACTCTTTCCTGTCCTACTCTTTTGTAATTTAATTTTGGCGTTCGTTGTACAGATCGAGTAACAGGTCAGAGCATGCAATTCACCAATAAATGTCATATTTTGGCATAACGATGAACTTGTTTGTTCCGGTCAAATGTTATTAGATCAAGCGGCGGAAACATATATGGATCGATCTCCATCGGAAACAAGGAATTCGTTTGTTAGTAGTTTATACCAGTATACCACAATATTTAATGAGAAAGGCGTACAGCGATACTTATTACACCGAGTAAAAATCAATAACTTTGTCTCTAGAGCTTAGCGTAGTGGTTCGTCACCTGACTTATTATGTCACAACTGAAGGCGGCAGCATTGAGGTTAAGGTCCAGAATAGTAGAAAATATGGATTAGATTCATTGTGCATGCATTGAATCATGAATGTACGTGATTAGGATTTTACCGGTGAACTGATTACGCGACTCATAATTTGCATCTGCAATGGCTATATGGATGAGTCCTGTAAACTTAGAAGTAGTCCGGCAAAATTAGAATAACCTAAGTATATAGCTTGAAATATTATATATATTGAAAGGTAATTAATCTTAAACTACTTAAAGGGAGATGACTGTGGGGCCCAGTAATATATATAAGCTGATTACTAAGAGCATCTCAAACTATATGCACCAAATTTTACTGATCTTTGGATGTACTCCTCCCCTTCCCCCCACTCCGTCTCCCCCAAAAAAGAAATATTCTCATCATATTCTTACACCAAATTTTTTTTTATTTCCAACCCATTACACAAAATTTTATTTCTTCACTAAAATAATTTGTTTCTCATAAACTAAGACTTTGTATTATAACTTTAAATATTTTAATATAAAATATAATTATAATGCAAATATTATTTTTATTCCACAATGATATATCATAGAACATCCATTACATTTAATTTTAAGAATTACCATATCGTTCCCACATATGCTCAATCAATGTATCACGAAACACAAATTAGTCTTGAAGATTATTGAATTTAAGTATGTTTAAAATAATTTTAGATATAATTTGCTTTATGTCAAAATTATGATTTATGTGTGTAGTTTCATTTTTAATTAATCTATGTTTAATATTAGTCTTGTTTTAATCGTCTTGATAATATCTTTCCAATGATATAATTTATTTTTAATAATATAAAATTTATATTTTATATTTTAATAAAATATACAAATACATTAAAATTAAATAAAGGAATTAAAAATAAAAGCAATGGGCAAAATGAAAAGAAAAAAACCACACCAAAATGGCGTGAGATGAACAGTGTAGTGCTATATTTGACGTTGCACTATTCATCTCACACCATTTTTTTGTTGTTTTGCCGCGCCAAATGGAGCACTTCACAACTATTTTTTTTTTTTTTTTTCATTTTAGTGTTTTGCCTGGTTCCTTGTACATGCTTTAAGAGCATCCACCTCAATAGATTTTAAAATTTTTTTTTTTTTAATAAAAATTAGGACAAGTTTTTTGTACTATTCGAGACAGGGTTTTTATGAAGTTCTTTTCTTGCAAATCATCTTTTTTTTTTTTTTTTTTTTTTTTTTGGTGTGCCCCTGTCAATGAGAAAAGGACGTGCAATTTGTGCGTTTTTTAAATGTCATAATTATATTTCTTTTATTTTCTCCCTTTTTTCTCTCTATCTACTTTCCCAGTTGGCAACTATATTAAGGGAATCAGAGAAGCTACAATTAATGCGTAGTATTGTTTGTTACATTTCCATTAGAATGGGGAATTCAATGGAGGTTGAAAATGCAGAATATCCGTTGATTTCAGAAGCGGAAAACCAAAACAAGGCCATCGTGAGAACTCTTTACGAGGCAATGGCAAGCGGCGACACTAGAAAGGCCGCCGGAATCATTGGCGGCGACCTGGAATGGTGGTTCCACGGGCCACAGAAGTGCCACCACATGATGAACATGCTCACCGGAAAATCATCGGCGGCGGCGGCGGAGGATTTCAAATTCGAGCCGCGGAGCGTGGACGCGATCGGCGGGGAGCGCGTGGTTGTGGAGGGATGGGAAGGAGCGCAGGCTTATTGGGTGCACGTTTGGACGGTGAAAGATGGGGTGATCACTCAGTTCAGAGAGTATTTCAATACGTGGCTGATTGTGAAGGAGCTGAGAGGCGTGAGGAGTTCCAAGTCGACGGTGTGGCGGAGCCACCCCAGAGACATCGCCAAACGCACCTTGCCGGGCCTTGTGCTCGCCATTGATGGTTAATGCCCGTATTGGTTGTTAAGAAATTACTCTATTATTCGTTAAGTATTCAAATAGAGTTTTTTGCACTTTTTGCCCACGACTATATTGACACTATCAGGATTGATCCATAATTTTCAAATCTTGTAATTTTAGTTCACAACTATTGTTTTTGTTGCAAAAATGGTCCTTCCGGCCAATTTTCTGTCAAAATCTCATTGGAAAAAAAATTTTCATTTCAAGCAGTGATAAAATAGATATTTACATTGACCTTGCAACCTCAGACCGTTGTTGACCTCTTATTCTGACCAAAGTGCGAAAAAAAAAATTTACCAGAGACGAACCCTAATCTGCTCTCATCTCATCAACCCATCTGCGAACAAAGAAGAAAACATTGATTGTTATCTTCGACACGACATCCATTGCCGATCTTCATCTTCTTTATTTTGAAGGAAAACATAATGGCTACATCGTTGATGAGATGTGAGCATATTAGAGTTCGTCTCTAGCAATTGATTTTTTTTTATTTGATTTTTCGCACTTTGGTCAGAATAAGAGGTCAACAGCGGTTCGAGATTGCAAGGTCAATGTAAATGTCTATTTTATCCATGTTTGAAATGAGAAATTTTTTCTTCGGTGAGGTTTTGATGGGAAATTGGCTAAAAAGACCATTTTGGTACCAAAAACAATAGTTGTTGACTAAAATGACAATGTTTAAAAGTCGTAGATCAATCCTGATAGTGTCACTATAATCGTGGGACCTAAAGTACATAAAACTATATTCAAATAGCTAGGTTGAGCGTTTTTGAAAAGAATGTGATGTTTGATGGGGAATTGGAATTTAAAATAGGGAGGTGAAATAGACCCTTGAATTATTGATTAAAGTGTAACTAGTTCCCCTCAACTACATAAAACTTTGATTAGGCATTTAAAAATACAAATAGACCTTTTTACAAGTTATCATCATCCTATCGAAGCACGTAGAGTCAATGACGCCTCTACTATGGCTTACACTCACAACCTCCCATGTGGGAGTCCAACTCGAGTGTCATCTGTGCACAAGGTGTTTGACAGTTATCATGAGTTAAAATTAGCTAATTTGACATTCATATCTATCTACAATCTACATCTACATCTATACATACAATTCTAATAAGAGCCAATAATGTTAGGCCCTTAACTGTAACAAAAAAATGTCGGTCCTATTGTTTCTTAAAATGAATGGTTCATATTATACTATTGTTTCTTAAAATGAATGGTTCATATTATTTTTATTTTAGTATTTTTTATTGATTTTCCTTTTTTACCCTCTATTATATTATTTTCTTCCCTTAAATAACTTAAATTCCGTTAGCATAAAATTTAGTAACGGAATATTCCGTTAAGTATTTATTATTTTAACTTACACATTAATTTCTATAAAAAAAATTCTTAGTTTCGAACCACATCATAATTAGAGTTGGCATAATTGTTAAACATATACTACGAATATGTTAAAATATATATAATATAAAATTTAACATAAACTTTGTTCAAATAATTAGTCTGACTAAAACATAACATTCAAAGTTAAGCATCAAAGATTATAAATCAAGAACTTTAAAAATCATTTGATCAGAAAAAAACTTAATATTCTTTTGATTATTTAGCTCAGAAAAAAAACTTAATATTTCAATTATACTTTTGCATTAATATTTTTTGTATGTATTTAAAAAAAAAATCAATGATTGCATTATTGTTGATAAAAAGTATATACGCCACTTTATTACTCTTATTAAACTAAATAAAGTAGTAGCTATAACAAAAAATAATACATATCTATTTAATTAATTTTGAATTAGATGTCTATAATGCCTTTATTTAAAACAAAAATTATTCATTATAACAATTTAAAATAGATATAATTTCATTAGTTATGTTATCTTTATTTTCTACAATTCAAAGATTCATTACCTTCAAATTTATCAATTTATTATATTCACTGCATTGTCCATTGTCTTCTTTTTACATTATCTTGTAATTAAATATCAAAGTTATAATACAAAATACATTATATATATATATATATATATATATATATATATATATATATATATATATATATATATATATATATAAAGTATTTTATACAAATATAATAAATATTAATATTTTGTTCAATACTTTTACATGATAACCTACAACACACATCTCACAATGCATGAAACATGTAGGGAAAAACTACAACTACCAAATATCGATTAGAAAATTCAATAAATATTATCTTGCATTTATATATTTTGAATTACCGATTTAAATAAACAAATTCAATATTTATTTACATACGCATGAACATCTTCAATATAATATTGCGTTGATATACTTTGAAATATTTATTTAAAAATAATCATTGGGCATTATCCCATTCGCGCAAAGCGCGTAAAAAAACTAGTATATATTCTAAATGCTGACAATATAATATATTTAAATAATTAAATAATTTTTTAAATTATTAACTGCCATGGCAGCGTTGTCTATTTCCAGTTTGGAAGAAGACGGTTGAATTAGTAAATATTTATCGAATTGAACTAGTAAATATTTATCGAAATGAACTAGTCCATTTTGTTTAATGTAAATATCAGTATAATATGTGGAAACAAAAATGACAAAAAATTTATGGTTTATTACGTGGTGACGTTTTGTTTGTAACCAAAAAAAAACAAATGTTTATAATGGACGTGAAGTATGAGCCCATTAAGGACAAATGGGCTCTTAGTCAAAATACAATTCCAACACTGCCTAAGCAGGTAATTGTGTACACTTTGCAAGATGGACATGATTTCAAAATTGTTCATAGTTATAAATATATAATTTAAAAATTATGAACATATAATTTTATAATTATTATAAATATAGAGTTATGAACATAATTATGGACATATAGTTATGTAATTATGAATATAGAGATTCAATCGTTGTAAATATGAATTTCAAAAATTATGAATATATAACTTTATAATTATGAACATATAGTTCAGTAATTATGAACATAAAGTTCTGTAATTCACATATAGAATTCAATAATTATGAATATGAAATTCAAAAATTATGAATATATATAGTAGGTGGCTTTATAATTATGAACATATAGTCCAGTAATTATAACATAGAACCATGTCCACCTTGCAAGGTGGACACGATTCCACAACATAACATTTGGCCTAAGCATTTATTTGCCTATTGGACAGGGTCACATGGCTGATAGTTCATGACAAATTATTTTGTGGACCCGGGTCCAATATACACAATTTACATATTGAATGTTCACAATTAAAAGTTCACAAGCTACATACTGAATGTTCACAATTTGAGTGGTGAACATTCAATATGTAAATTATCTTTACTTTTCACGGCACAGACGACATATTTTAGCGGAAGAACTACGACATGTCGAAATTTGAAACTAGGAAGATCACGGGGTGATTGATTTGAATGTTTAAGAAACGTGGCAAAACCACCAAACTCGGAAGACCTTAAATGACATTAACTCTAAGGCTGAACACATCCCTGCAAATCTCACATTGGCAATGTAATATGACAAGAGAGAGAAAATCATTTTTTTTATGCTTATGTGTATTCACAATGGAAAGAGAGTTGACTAAATTAGCAATAAGAGAGAGAATTTACAAATGAAAAAAAAAGCCTGCAAAATTATTGTTTATTACACAACTACACAACTTTTGATTTATTTTCTAATTTTATTGTTTCTTTTCATATTATTTTATTATTATATTTATAATATAATATGAAACTGGAACCCATTTTTAAAAGTGTTAGAGATTTGTAGGGATGTAGAATAAATAGTGAAGAATTTGTAAAATTACTGATATGAAAGTGAGACCCATTTTAAAAAGTGAGAGAGATTTGCAGGGATAATTTCAACCTAATGTTAGACATTTTTTCCCGCACTCACACCCACGCGGATAATGAAAATCTCACCCTATACCCGCCCCCGCGGGGATTTTGTGGATGCCGATAATACCCAATCCGCAACTCTAATTATTAATATTACACTTAAATCTAATAAAAATCTTATACTACAATTGTAATTATTACATGGATTTTTTTTAATAAGTTTGAACATAACTCAAAAATTTAATAAGAGCGAATGAAGTTAGTCCTTAATTGAAACTAAAATTGTGTTGGTAGTATAAATTGTATTAAGGGGGCGTTTGGTTCAGGTCATCTTTGATTACCAAGGTAATCTGAGACTGGTAATGTTATATTACCTTGTTTGGTTCAAGTTATAAGATTACCTGATAATCTTATATTACCTGAAAGCTGATGTGGCTGTAATGTACCCCCATTTTCTTAGGTAATCTCAGATTACCTTGAATTATTTCAACTTTACCCTTGTTAACTAATCATCATCATCATCATCATCATCATCATCATCATCATCATCATCATCATCATCATCATCATCATCATCATCATCATCATCATCATCATCATCATCATCATCATCATCATCATCATCATCATCATCATCATCATCATCATCATCATCATCATCATCATCATCATCATCATCATCATCATCATCATCATCATCATCATCATCATCATCATCATCATCATCATCATCATCATCATCATCATCATCATCATCATCATCATCATCATCATCATCATCATCATCATCATCATCATCATCATCATCATCATCATCATCATCATCATCATCATCATCATCATCATCATCATCATCATCATCATCATCATCATCATCATCATCATCATCATCATCATCATCATCATCATCATCATCATCATCATCATCATCATTATTATTATTATTATTATTATATCTTTATACAATAAAATATACATGTGTATATTTATATATTTAGTTTTCTAATATTTGAACATTGATATACATTCATACATATAAATAAATAAAATAAATACACACACATAATATATATATATATATATATATATATATATATATATATATATATATATATATATATATATATATATATATATATATATATATATATATTATTGAGGACATTATTGTAAATTGATCCATATAACCTAAAA